GCCATTATTATGTTTTTTATATCATACTCTGGATACCTGAGGGCATTCATTAACTGTACCACCATTTTTACACTTTAGATATTCTGCCATTATTATGTTTTTTATATCATACTCTGGATACCTGAGGGCATTCATTAACTGTACCACCATTTTTACACTTTAGATATTCTGCCAGAGCCTGCTCTCCCATTTGACCTCTACCTTCTGAACAACCAAAATAACCCTCGTTACCTGGTTTGCAACTCATTTTGCAAAAATCAATATTACTTATGTTGAAGGTGGAATGATGCTTCCTTTGAGAGATATGTACCATATTGACATCATGAACAACCGTTTGATGAGTTTTCATATTTTCAACTTGAACTCATGAAATTTCCATAGCTCAGTACATACCTAAGGCTTTTAGGAAAGATAAGGTCCCCTTCCCTAAGAAAACATTCACTAACATTACACAAATTTTTCTGACATGTATTAAACTCTCTTGCATATCACTCAATCTAGAATTACAAATTAAAAGTTTAAATTCTGTTATATAGTTTCCTCTTTACGTTGACTTATCATAAAATATGTCACTCTTAGGCCACACTTTTATGAGTGTTACCATATGCTTCAAATTTTTCCGAGACTACTAATAGTCTTTTTTTTCTTCTGAAATCATGTTGTAAATTTCTAAAGTTTTCTCTCCAACACTATCCAACAATAAAGTAGTTTGTAACTTCTCATCTTTTTTTTATCTGCTTCCATTAATGTTAAAAACAACAACATTTTTTGTTTCCATTATCAAAGGTTTTTCGGAAACATAACTCTGACGAAATAAGCTTAACTGGTTCGTTTTCAAAATCACTTGATTTAAATACTGAAAAAGAAGAGCTGGCACTGTATCTTTAAAGACAGAATAACTTACAAGTTGAAAAAAAAACTTTCATTTATTCAAATAGTTCAATATATATATATATATATATATGATTATAGATGGCAGTAGTAGCTTACATGAAATTGTTAATGCTGCCATCTTTATCAAACACAATATACAATTCCACATTAAAAAATAAATCTTGTTGACTTTACTGTTATTAATTGTATATATTTTAACATGTGACTTTAGCAACATTTCATAAAATTTTTATAAAAGCAGAAATTCAGAAGTAACGATGTTGCTACATTACTGATCTGTTTAGTAAGAACCCCATAAGCGTTTAATTGATATAATCTTATTACAAGAGTTACCCTGATATCTACATATTTACCATAACTCACATACCCTGAGTAAAGCCTTGTTGCTTATAATGTTGTAGAGCTAATTCCTCAACTCCAACAATGACAACATCCCCAACACTACTTGATTCAGCAGAATCCATGGAAATAAAGACAGTTTTATATCCAGGTAATGCACGAGGAAACAGCCGACCTTGAATCACCACCTAATTGTATGAATATCAACACGAATCAAATTAAATAGTCACTGCTGCCCTATTAAGGATGCTGTTAGCACACAATAATAACCATACTCTTTATAAACCCATAGTAAAAATAAAAACCCCTAGATTAAAAGATCGAAACAGCTATAATCTCTGTGAAATTAATTTTTTTTTCTAAACTTCAGATAAGATTTTTAAATATCCCGGTTTACAGCTTATCATCATTTAGTACTTTTCATGTGATACATTGAGACTTTTGTAAGTTTACTGGAAAATCACCATACACTTGAATAAAAGTAAAACAAGTCTCTTTGCATTTTACATCTTTGTTTTTCACATAAAAACAGCAATATATACAGAAGTATATTTTTACATTTAAAAGACAAGATGTGATGTATTGTTCTACATACACTTTACTTACTATTAATATATATTTATATCATATAGCATATTATAACCTTCTAAGGTTTCTTTTATCGTACTAAAAAATCATTTTTGAACGATACACAGACCTTGGGAGCTTCTTGAACTGACAATATCTCTGGCAGCTCTTCCAATTTTAGTCCTAGCTTTTTGTTGGAAGAGGAAGAACAAATTTTCTGGGCTCGAGAGAAAAGAGCAAACTTGTGGCCAGTTCTCACAAAAACATCTGAGAGTGCAGTTTTAATCACAGAAAAAGCCTATAAAATCAGAGTTATAACAGAAAATGTATAATGTGAACAGTTTCAAAAACTCAAAATGATGTCCATAAAATCAGATTTTTCAGGCCAAATATAAAACAGAATGTTAGACCAATCCCCTCAAACTTTAAGATATAAAGGGGAGTGGGGCCCCCAGTACCTTGGCAGTAAGTTTGAAGGCTTATAATGCTAAAAAACGGGTTTCAATAAATCATGGTGGGTTAGAGCATAGATAGCCTAGTGTGTATCATTGTGCTTAACAACAAAACAAAGGAATAAGGGTGTGGAGATGCTTTATTCTCAAAACAAATGAATAACGTTTGATACTGATAAAGTCAATAATTTTGTAATCCTTTTTCTGGTACAACCAAATTGTGAATCTTAAAAATTCCATATACCTAAAAATTTTTTTTTGAGAATCAAATTCAATTATCACATGAAATAATTACTATAATATTTACACCTTCTAAAAGAATAATAAAGTTTGATTTGAAATAATTAGTGTCCTAAAAATTGTCTCATATTGATTTTATGCTAAACTTTACAGAAAGAGTAGAATGTCAATAACGGATAAAGAAAAAATAAATTTCCTCATATTTTTGTTTGTTTTTTGAATTTCGCGCAAAGCTACACGAGGGCTATCTGCACTAGCCGTCCCTAATTTAGCAGTGTAAGACTAAAGGGAAGGCACCATCCACCGCCAACTCTTGGACTACCCTTTTACCAACGAATAGTGGGATTGACCGTCACATTATAATGCCCCCACGGCTGAAAGGGTGAGCACGTTAGGTGTGATGGGGAATCGAACCCTCAGATTGCGAGTCGAGCGCCCTAACCACCTGGCCATGCCGGGCCTCCTCATATGTAGCAAACAACTTACGTATATAATCAATATGGTTTTAATCTTTGCAAAATATGGATTATAGTATGGTTTCAACACTTAAGTTGCTGGAAATAACATAATCTCTCTTTTTTTTAATTATGCCCTTTTTTTATACAGCTTTATAAATATTTCACAAAGATGAATTTCAGGTAAGAAAATAAGAGAGTTTGAAATGTATTCCAAGCACTATTTAAAAGTCTAGGATATTCAAAAAACTCAAAAACGTTTCGTTAAATATTAAACTGAACAAGTAAAAACAAACAAAATTGTATGTTATTAATTTAGCAACTCAAAAATTTATCTATTAAAATTTTAGATTCTGCTTTAAAGCTGCTAAAAAAGTCAGGAATAAATGTAAACCTGTAATTGGAAAACTAAAATAGAAGTATCAAAAAAACAGAAGCAATCAGAAAAAATGTCACAAAAAACACCACGACATTAAACAATGTAGAGCCTAAAATAAAGTCAGGTTCCTAGGTCATTACTATATAAATAAGTAATGTAGCAGAACATGTGTAATACGTATAAACGTTTAGATATATTAGACACAAGTTTATCAATATCAACTTAAACTGTAGCTAAATGAGATTTATAATAAAAATGGGTTCCATTGGGTTCCATTTTATACAAAGAATCCAAGCACATTCAAGGTATATTCATAGATAAACCATAAATTTACTCTTTAGATAGAACAGAAAACAAATATTTCTGTAAAATCTCCAACTGTTTAACACTCTTAAAGTATTCACCCTTGAAAAGTGTTGTGCCACAAGGTCTACGGCATATAATAACCTTCCTTGGCTATACGTATGATACATACCAGGGAAATCCTCAAGTTTTATAGTTATATGTTGTGTAGATCACATGACAAAGTCATGTGACTACTGCCTATCTTCAGTAGGTTAATATGCTTTCACAAAAGCTTTGGGATAAATCAGGGATTCTTTGAAATTCTCTATTTCTGCAGCACTGTTTAGCCTCAATAAACTTGAAAAAAAATATTGGATAATCTGGTTTCCCAGTATGCTCTAATGAAGAAAAGTCCACCTTTCGAAAATGTTAGAATTATACGGTCTTGTTTTCCTAATATCATGGATAAACTATACTTTCACTTGTACAAGAGATTTCCCTCCTATTATCATAGCAAAATCAAAGCAGTAAGTGTCAGAGAAACTCAAAGATTTATTCCAAAGAAATTTTGAAAACTGAATGCCTATAAAGTGTGTGTTGAACGTATTTATATCACGATGAATAAATTACATAACTGACAGCAGTAAGCCTAAAAATGTTCCGTAAGCAATTTTTGAGCTCCAATAAAGACTAAATGAGTATCAAATCAAAAAACAAAGAATCCATAAACAACCTGTTTTAGTGGCTTTGAAACTATAGAGTAAAAATTGTAGTGAACACAGAACTTTGAAATATTTACATATACGGTATACCAATGGAAAACAGATGATAACAATAACAATCAGAAAGTATTAATTATATACTTGTTACAGCACTTTAAAACGTTTACAAGTATGAACAGAAAAAGATTTGATAACAGAAATTAGATCTTACTTTTTCAGGCTGTTTTAAATGCTGATCTGAATTTAAAGCAATTCTATCATACCATCGCCCTCTGTAGTCTAGACAATACTCCTAGAAAAGAAATAATATATAAAGTCATGATGCATCTAATTGCTACCATATCCTTCGTATAATATGTGCAAAATAAAAAATTATTCAGCTAACACAACAAAATTAAGAAAATCGCAAGAACATCACTTTAGCTGTACAATAAATAACTTACTAAATGTTGACCGTACGAAATCCTGGTGTCTTCAGCAATAAATTACTAACTGTAATGGCAGTCAACACTTTCTTTGTATAAATGTCCCTCATGATGAAAGGTCTACCTTAAAAAGTGTTTGGGCTATAGTGTTTCTATTTTTCTGTATGAATGCTGTACTAGCTCATACTATACTCCTGATGACAACAATTTACATGAAAAAGGGCAAATCCCTCTCATGAAAAGATGGCACACAGGATCCATTAATGAACTTTGGCTTAACTGGCACAAGTCGATGAGAATGGTGATACACTGGAAGGGGTGCCTGTCTATTTTAGGTTAACCACCAACTAACATCTGGTACCCATCACACAAATGGATAAACTGAAATAATTAGAAGTAGTGTCTTACTCAAGGACACAACAGCCCAAGCCAGCCTCAAACTTGCAACCACCCAACTACGAGTCCAAAGCACAAAGTCACTGATCCACACTGCCCCCATCAACTTACATAATCAATTCATAATAAAACTAATGTTTTCATAGCCATTATTTAAGCATAACGGGTAACTGAAGCAATTTCACCAAATTTCCATCACGGAAGATGATTATCTTATATAACTCTTGGAAACAATCCCATACACAAAATAAAACAAATCAAGGCCCAGTAACATTAAAAATTTTAATTCATAAAATGAACAAAAGTGTCTGATTGTTTATTTTAAAAATGACGTGATTAATGCGTGTAGCATTACATATGAACAATCACTGTCTTAGGAATAAATCATAATCTGATGTATCACATGTATAAACACACAACAGAACAACCATTTGATAAAACAATGTCAGGTAGGGGAACACTATTTTTAACTTAAATTTTTTTTAACCATAATTAGCACTTTTTCTGAACTATTTAGAAGATCGATACTAAACTTAAAAACTGTTGGCTTGAACTGCCGAACACTGAAATACCTTTTGATCAACTAGTGTTTGCAGCAGATCTACGGCATCCTTGTATCTTCTTAGTTTTTGCAGTATTTCCACACCACGGCTCAGACACCGAACGTAAACATGGCCGGCAGTGAAACAACGTAGGAAGGTGGGAAGAATTTTGTCCCTTATAAAAATAGTCTGTAATTACTGAGTAAAAAAACTCATTCCCTTATAAAAAATAGTCTGTAATTACTGACTAAAACAACTCATTCCCTTATAAAAATAGTCTGTAATTACTGACTAAAACAACTCAATCCCTTATAAAAATAGTCTGTAATTACTGACTAAAACAACTCATTCCCTTATAAAAAATAGTCTGTAATTACTGAATAAAACAACTCATTCCCTTATAAAAAAATACTCTGTAATTACTGACTAAAACAACTCATTCCCTTATAAAAAATAGTCTGTAATTACTGACTAAGACAACTCATTTCCTTATAAAAATAGTCTAATTACTGAATAAAACAACTCATTCCCTTATAAAAATAGTCTGTAATTACTGACTAAAACAACTCATTCCCTTATAAAAATAGTCTGTAATTACTGACTAAAACAACTCATTCCCTTATAAAAATAGTCTGTAATTACTGACTAAAACAACTCATTCCCTTATAAAAAATAGTCTGTAATTACTGACTAAAACAACTCATCCTAAGTCAAACCAAACTGAAATGTTCCTGTAGTGAATCATTAAAAATATTTAATAATATTCCAGGATAAAACTTGAACCTAAAACAGTTCATTCCAAGTTTCTCATCTCAACTAATACTAAAAACTGTATTTATTTAGAGGTGTATTTAAAATTATATAAATTAATCCAAATTAAACTACTTTAAGTACACAGAATCACACAAAAAGAGCTGCACTTTGTTTTTACATCCTACTAAACTCCATCACTCAAAGGTGGTAAAGTTAGTTGGATACAGCAACTGCCTAGTTAGCAAAATTAGAGGTTCAACTCCAATCCAATCTTAGTTTTTATTTCTTTAAAAAACCTTTAAAGAAACTTAAGAATAACTGAGTATACCATGTACACTCAGTGGGTCACTCAAAATAACCAGTAAGTTTGTCTTCAAAAAAATTAAAATACATTTTTGTTAAATTCTCCATAGATCAATGTTCTATAAAATGTACTATATTTGCAAAAACACTTTTGGATATAAATGACAAAAACTTAAAAGAATAAAAAATCAAAGTACAATTGTACACACAAGGTCTACCATTTCTCTAAAAGACTACCTCCTATTTTCATATATCTTACTTCTCAGGTTGCCCTTGACTGCAGTAGTGGAAGTACATTTCTTTCACATTCAAGAATAGTTGATGAGCCATTTCATAGTCCTTAGCCTCAACTGAAGAAAGTAAATCTCCCTCTAGCTGCCTCGCCACTTCGTACCTACAAGAAATGGTTCAACTGAGCAACAGAGATCACTAGTCATGATGAATTATGGTACATCACATAGTTTTTTTAAAGTAAATATCAGAACTGAGGCTCAAAATTTTCAGGTTTCGAAAGTCCTTTGAGAAGTACTTGAATGAAAGACAATATTTGTGTCAAAAAAATAAGCTCACCTAAAGCAGGTTTCTGAAATTTTAACCTGAATTCAACATCTATACCATTCTTTAAATTGAACCGTGTCACTCTTTGCTTGCTACAACTATGTCATTCTCTAGGTACAACATCTATTTCATCCTTTTGTATATTTTAAATCCTCTTCAAGTAATGAGAAGGTTAACCCAATTTTAAAAATTTTTTTCTCTCACTGAAACTTTTACGACCAAACAAACTGTGGATTTAGTTCAAAAGCCAAATTAAACAATATAAAAGCAATACAAGTCACAGAAAAACAATTTCTTAGTTTCTAACACTGGGAATAGCTTTGTTTTAGTGCAAAGTCACATTAGGCTATTTGCTGTATCTACCACAGAGAATCAAACCCTGGATTTTAGCATTATAAATCCATAATCTCACTAACCCACCAGGAAACTGGGAATAGAAGAATTATATTTAACTAACAATGAAAAATATAGTATGATAATCACATGGTTTATTTACTAACTTTTCTATCATACTTAAGCCTAATGGTTCATTTCTGTAGCATAATCTACATCTTTTAGTGTCTCTGCAAATGCAATACTGAAATATTTTTCAGGAGAATTTCAAGCTTTGATATAACTTTGACCCTTATTAAAGTGACCAATAGTAAACATTTTAACTGTTGCAAAATATATTATAAAACTGTATTTTTCTAGCTTTTCATCAGCTAATCAAACAATTCATAAAGAAACAGAAGATTTAACTGGTAAAAAATGTTATCAAAAGACACAGATATCATACTATTTAGATTTGGAAAACAAGTCTCAGAAAATCCGAAGCCAGTTATGATCTCTACCTGATTAAATCTTCACGAGTTTCAAACAAAATAGCTACTCTGCGTATGGTTGTTGTGGGAAAAACCAGTTGGCCTCGGTTTACTAACAGCAAAGTAACCCTGAATAACAAAGAATATCATAGAATTTCAAACATGTGTACAACCCTCTCATTACTAATTATAAAAGCAGTTAGCAATAAGTAACAATAAGAATATAATTTTACTTCAAGAAAACTAGATATAAAGTGCTCAGTTAAAACCTAACATTTAGTGCCTAACCAGGTAAATATACTCCTTGAGCTAAGATTGTAATATTATATTAAAACTTGTGCTGTAACGGACGTCAACAATTAGCCACCACTAAACTCCTCTACCTTGTAAATAAATAAATAGAACAAAATACTGATAGTTCCTAAATAACCAAGGAAAAAAAAATAAACATGGAAAAAAATTTGTACACTCAGTGTTCCTACATCTTACGTAGATGAGATAAGTTTGTTTCAGAAAAAAAATTAAGAGCATAGCACTTTTTATTCCTGCTTCTTAACCCTACATGCATGGATGAGGATTCAAGTACACATGTTATTACCTATTACAGAGTGTCATTCCATATGGTAATATATATATTTAAAGTCTGAGTTATCAACTATTCATTTTATCCTCATTATTGACTTAGAAATAGTTCGTGGTAGAGGAGAGTAAATACCAGACAATATGACAATATAGACAGGGTTTTGTTTGTTTTGAATTTCGCACAAAGCTATACGAAAGTTATTTGCGCTAGCCATCCCTAATTTAGCAGTGTAAGACTAGAGGGAAGGCAGCTAGTCATCACCACCCACTACCAACTCTTGTGCTACTCTTTTACCAATGAATAGTGGGATTGACCATCACTTTATAACACTGCCACAGCTGAAAGGGTGAGAACGTTTGGTGGGACGGGATTCGAACCTGCAACCCTCAGATTGTGAGTCAAGCGCTCTAACTACCTGGCCATGGCGGGCCAATATACAGGGATACTAAAAACAAAACTGTAAATAAGGACTTATAAGGACAAATAGTTCTGAAGGTTATGCAACTGCAATATGTAAACTGTATGATGTATTTATATTCTTCACATGAATGTCATTTTACACTCCAACTTGTCAGAGTCTGAACCAGACTGACGTCATCAACTCACAGACATATCTTGAGTAGGAATACTTTTATAATGCAACAGATTCATAAATTTTACTAAAAGCTTGCTAAATTTCATATAGATACACATAAGAAAATCAGACTATAGCCAAAATTATCTCTCTGGTACAAGGTTCTTCCAAAGGACTGACCTCGTGCAGATTTTATTAAATTACTACTGATTATTGCTTTCCTAAACGAGTCATCAGTAACTTGATTCAAAGGTTTATACTGTTGGGTACTCAATTTTCAATGTAATATCGTATTCCAATCATGGCTCAAAAAAAAAAAATCTAATTGTCTTGATTAAAAATGTTCAAATTATTTTTTCACAAGACTGGAAATTAGCAATAGTACATTAAGCAAGTAACTACTGTGTTTTTGTAATTAAATTATATTGTTTCTTTAATGTTAGTTTAATTAAAAGTATTGGTTAAAATATTTACATACAAACGTTTATTTGTATTGTTTGTAATCTATTTATTATTTTGAATTTTCAGCTTAGTTTATGGATTTAGGACTAACCTAAATTTCCTGAGCTGGCAAGATGTTATCAGGAATAAGGTAAAAAATATCCCTAACAGTGGGGATATCCAGCTGATCACTGGTTTGGTTGTTGATAAGCACAAAGCTACACAATGAGCAATCTGGGCTCTGCCTACCATGAGTATTGAAACTCAATTTTTTGCATTGTAAGTCTTCAGCCTTACTGCTGAGCTACTGGGGGGTATATTAACTATATTAATTACAAGGTTAGTTTTCAGTTCATATCTCTGTGGGCATCATGCTTTGATCAGATGTTAATGATAATACTCATGCTACTTATTTTTAGAACAACCTCCTTGCTTATTTAAATTGAAAGGAAATTTGTTACATGGATAAGAGAAATAAAGAAAATACAAAGTTTCATACACTTACATCGAGCGAATGAGCACACATATGACATTCTTATCACAGAAAAAAGTCACCAAAATTTTGTAAAATGTCAAAACACAGCTGAAATGTAATTTCTTTTTTATAAGAAAGAATGTCAGCTGCACATTGGTTGTATAGAATGAACATGAATCAAAGTTATAAAGAACAAACGTTGATAAGAAAATATTACGTCACAAAACAATTGACCCCATTCATTAGCAAATTAATGTCTTGTGAACTAAAATATATTCATATTTAATAAAAACAGACAACTTACGCACAAAGTAATAAGCATAAAATACGTAAGTAGTATTTATCATGAAAACACAGAAGTCAAACAAACGTTTTGTAGTTTATCAAACACACAATTTACGTCTTTTAAGACCAAGAACCATATCAACTAACAACTGTTGTTGTTGTCCTCCACTGGCATCATCTTCATCTTCAGCGGCTGCAGGGAGAGAGAAAAGCATCAAAATTCTTGTAAACACACGTCGTGGAATTACGGTCAGTTTGAAGCAGATCCCAACTGCCTGACGAGCTCTTAAAGAAAATAAAACAAAATTGGATAAGAAAAATTTGCAACCATCTTACAGTAGAAAAGAAACATTGTTACATTAACATGTCATAAATATAAAATTTTGTTACTGCTTGTGCAACCTTTTTTTTAACTTGTAAAAGATCTGAGTAAATTAATAAAAAATAAACTATAGTAATAAAGAGTTATGACACTCAAATAACCAAAAATATATTTTTTTTATAACTACAGAATAGCAATATACAATATGAATATTTTTTGGAATTTTATCCATTCTAAACCTGATTTAATTTTCTAAATTTACATTTTATGCTACCTAAGTTAGACTGTTGTTACAAGGTGCAACTTTCATTAGATCATTTATCAGGTTATCTACTGTGATTAATTAGGTTAAAATAACAAATATTTTAATCCGGACTCACAAAAATAGGTATTTCACCCTTCCAATTCTAGAAAAAAAAAAGATTATTCAGCTAAATTTTTCAGCAAGTATTTTGAACTAAGTTGACATACTCCTACACGGGACTTGAAAGAACATAAACTTACACTAATCCTCTCAACAAAGGTTACATACAACATTGGTCATTCTCTGAAGGCTTATACTTGCTTGACCCTATTTTTATATCAATGCTCCTAAAGGGTGTGGATCATACTCAAGTTGAGGAGTAGTACAGAAATTTGGTAAGTTAGTGTGAGCTGGGCATTCATCTCTCTTGAATATGTGTAACAGAAATTGTCTGTGATGAAGATAATCTAGGATTAGGAGATACCGCACTAGGAACTCTCATTCTTGCTCCTACTAAAGTAGACATCTTTCTCTCTACGGTTCTGGCAGCCAAGGAAATCGTAAAAAAAACTTTGAAGCTGTCAAGTCATGGCTAAGGCTAGTAACTTTCATCAAATAAATATTTTTGTTGTTTGTTTATATATATATGTGTATGCCTTTTTCCTTTGCCATTCACGTTCAGTTTGTTTGCAAATATTTCCTGAATATACCATTCATTTCAAATTTCTTTTAGCTTACCTGTTGGAAAACAGTTTACCTGAACATAATCAATAAAATCTCAAAATTAACATTCATAAAAACATGCTTTAGCATACAGGATGTCAAATAAAAAACTTACAATTTCATGTTTTAGATCAATCTATACAATAACTGGCAAATTCAGACACAATTCATTTTTCAAGAATATATTACACACGAATGCATGTATAAACCTTATTACCCACGAATGCATGTATAAACCTTATTACCCACGAATGCATGTATAAACCTGAAGCCAGTTGTTTCACCTTTAGTTTTAGAACCTTACTGAAGCCAGTTGTTTCACCTTTAGTTTTAGAACCTTACTGAAGCCAGTTGTTTCACCTTTTAGTTTTTTACCCACGAATGCATGTATAAA